CATCTATCAAAAATATTTAACCTTACCCAGGAGAATTGTTAAACACACAGTAACCACACGAGCTGGATAGGAAGTGTCCTAAAATCGACGCCATCTTTCAAAACATGTGATTCAAAATCTTTTTCGAGGGCATTGCATTATGGGAAAATGCAAACGAGGGCGACAAATTTCACACAAAATCCTTGCAGATTTCTTCAAAATTTTCTATCTTAATATTTTTAACCGAAAAATCTTCCAAAATTAAAAAAACCAGCATAAATTTCAAGAAGCAGAGACTAAAGCAAAGGCCTGTCCTATTAGGCTCAGCTCCTTCTATAAGTTTGTAGCATTTCGCAGAGTTGGGTAAAAAACAGTTAAAGGTAATTCACTTAGCCAGCTGAAACTTGCCAAGGTTTAAAGGAAAAAGACCACGGAGTGACCTTTTCTAATATCTTAGCTACATTTTAACATATCAACAAAAGAATTCAAACCCATCTATGTATCTACGCTTAATGCCTTGCTAAGTCATCTTTAGATGGGATAAAATATTTGCATTTTATACATTGTTCCATCAAAAAATGACTTGAAAACGGCCATTTGAAACTCACGTAATGTTTGAACTTTTTTAGACAAGAATGTTTGTTGATTCAACAATTCATATAAAGAACATAAGGTTAATCAAACTTATACACAAAGTAAGTGCCAAGTATGTTCGTAAATTCTTTGAAGATAAGGTTCCTTCAAAAAACCTTTCCAAAAATTGACGAACAAGGCAGAAAAGAGCAAATAAATACAGTCCATTTCATTTCCTTGACAATCTTGTTAAGCAAAGGCCAAACTGCGAAAAACGTTAAGGGACCATCTTGTCCTAGCCTTTCTCGTGGTTGAAAAACCATTAGGTAAAACCCAAGTGCGAAAAGTTATTAAATGCTATTCCAGTGAACAGAATACCTGTATATAACTTTAAAAAGGCATATTTTCATTTAAAAGATAAATTTTGTTTAATATAAAAAGAACTAATAAAGAAAACGAAACCAGAATGTTTCAACTTACGATGAAACATAGAGAAGAACAAGAAAGAAGAACGGATCGTTCTGCAGGATTTATAGACAAAGGACAAGAAAGATTTTTGCGCAACAAATTTCCGTTTGTCGCCAGTTTCGGTCTGTTATGACCGAAAAATCTTAAGTATTGCACCGTGTCTTAATATGCAACATTTTTTATCACTTTCTCAAAATCCTGAATAGGAAAGAACCATTAGATTTATTTCCATTTTTGTTGAATATTAATGACTTAGCAACATTGTAACTAGCATCCAGTTTCAAGAACGTCGAGAAGTCAAAATAAAAATTATAGAAAGGGAAAAGAGAAGACAACGGAGGTCCCTTCTCTTTCATTCCTGAACCCTTATTTTATTTTGACGTTACTTATTCGAGGTTCTGGCATGAGGAGTCTGGAGCCTTTTCACAATTATTTTGCAAATGAAAATGGTGAAGTTCTTTAGAGCTTCGCCGGGCTGCCTTGGACAAGTAATTGTTGCTTGTTTTACTTCAAAAAGTCTAATCGACTGTCTAACAAACCGGCTTGAAGAGAGCTCTCCAAAAAGATTACCAACAGGCATGGACTTGAATCGATATGAGGTAAGGATTGTGTTGATACGAGGTAAGTGTCCTCAGTTCTGTTTTATTACACGCATTTTTCATTAGAACGATTTATAAGAACCAGAGCCTCAAAACTGGTCAAAAGTTAGGAGCAAATTAAGAACAAGCTGAGGTTGAGCCACTGAGAAATGTAATTTTGAGGAATTGTCTCAAAAACGAGGTAATTTTTGTGGCCCCAGCTTGTTCTTGATTTGCTAACTTCGGCCTTAGCTTGTTCAATATTCGAATATCCTGAAAGAGCGATTGATTTAAGCCGAAATGAAAGCCATGAGAATGTTAGGCCATTACTCACCAGGAAAAGAATAGTTATGGCATTGAAATTACATACGAATTTCCTTCACAAAATATTGAAGGATAAATTTTGACGAGAAAAAGTTAACCAAGGGCAATACAAACGTTTAGGTGAATTTAGGAGCTACCAGCCTCTTGGGCCAATTGTTTGCAAAAGAAATGATTGAGACAAAAATGAACCGAAACAAGGAAACATGATATTTTCTTATGGAAAATGAGCCGTTTGTGCATTCATGAGTAAAGCTATTGACGCTGGTTCATTGTTTATATTCTAATCAACAAAAAGAACGCGAAAAAAACAAAAGTACTCACAGAAATCAGCTACTGAAGCAAATGTTTACTTGCGCAGAAAATGATTTTCGAAGTCAATGAACCTACGGGCTGTTTGCTTGCATTGTTGGACAGTAATGGTCAGATTGACGGAGTCTCACCATAAGATCAAGTACCTTTAGGAAGAAGGTCAACATATATTAAGTGAACTGTGTGAAGAAATGACGTCGATACAAAGAAAATTGTCGTTTATTTGTTATTTTGCTTTAATCTTGGTAAAATTCACACTGCGATTTGATTACATCGGGAGATTAACATATTTAAGTGTCAGGAAATTGTCAATAGAGAGGATCTTAAGCCTGACATCATCATGAGATTCACAAGGATAAAGCATAGTAGGATTGGATCGAAAAGTCGGGGTTGTTTTCCAAAATCCAGATTTTTGGGATCTATAGGGTGAAAGAGCTTTTTCTCCCAGGAAAACTGGGAAAATCTGTTGAAATTTTCAATGTAAAGAAGATTAAATTCTCCTACTTACTCACACGCAGAGCGAAGAGACTTGCCTAAGGTCCTACCTATAATGTTTTACCGAGAATGCTATGCAACTAAAATTAGATCTTAGAAAGTTTGTATACAATTTTGTTTTTCCTAGAGATTTGTGCCTCATTGTACAAATTTGCAAAAGGTGGGAAGACCAAGATAAGGACTTGGACGACAACACTCTTCTTCTCGTGTTTATAATGCACCCTTAACTAGTTCATCACTCTCTTCCCCCCAAATACCGATGGTTGGATGACCTACAACAGGAACATGTGAAACCAGATTTGTAGCTCGTTGCGGAAAGCCCTTCCTTGTCAGGACAAGAGGAAGGCCTAAGGAGAAATTGTTTTCCGCATAGGGATGCCGTTTGTCGAGAAATAGCCGTTAGTTGAGTTATGGAAGTTGATTGGAACCAATTATGCTTCTTCACACAGCTCACCCTTATATTAAAATTCAAGTTGAAAATTGCTAGGTAATTTCTCTATACTTCTAGTCTTTCTGTCTACAAAGTACATAACCAACGTAGCTGCAGAGGAGGAGCACAGAAAAGGCTTTCATATTGAGGTTCAGTTGCACAAAGTTACAAAGATTCGTCACGTCGCTCTTGGCAGGAACGTCGGAAGCATTTCATAGGAAAGGGGGTACTTTCCAACAAATTGTAGAGAGAGTACAAAAGTAAGGAAAAGATGTGTTTTGCCAAAAGTTGGGAGCACATGCACCTGATACCCCCCTCGGTCCAACGTCCCTGCATTGCATTCTCTTCGAATATTATCCTTCCCAATAGAGGGCTTGTTTTTAGGTCCCCCTTAAGTTATGCCCCTGTCTGGTCTTTTTGTCTGCGATGAATTGAATTCAAGTTCGTATCACAAACATCTCCAAGTACTATGACTCGATAAGGGAGAGGCAAGCCAGCTCTATAACACTCTTTTTTACCTTCCCTAAAATACTGACATTTGAAATATAAGAGTGAAGTTGCCAGAACTATGTCTAGCCAACAGTTAGCCAAGTTGAAAAACACGGGTACAGAAATCACTAAAAGCGATAACCACTTAACGCAATTGCTAGAATTACATAAAGAGATTACCTAATTATTAAAATCAATTTATTTGTGGTGTTCGATTGAGAAATAGTCTGTTTTTCATATTTAGCCTCATCTGTTTATGCAACAGTAGTGCAACAGTGTTTGAAATCGAATTAATGGAAGAATGAAGGGATTAATATTACAATGTTGTTAGACTTGCTAAAGAGATCAGAATCGATTTATCAGAAAAAATATTGTTGGTTATGTGGAAAGAGGCTAAAACTCTAGTATGAAGGACCAACGTAATCTTTGTCGATAAATGATAAGCCTGTTTATAAGAAATAGTTCTAGGATTAATGCACGGATTGATTGAGGATTAATCAGCGATCAGATGAAGAATATAAAGAAGAACAATAATCCAGTGCATTATCAGGTCTGGAAAACACTGAAAATCTGAGTTATTATAAGCACTTGAACACATTATGTTTTTGAATTTGTTTCAACACAGATGGTTTATCATCAGTTGCAAAACGATCGAGTCCCAGTAGCCTCAAATGGTAAGCCAAGATGTTTGAAGGGGGGGGGGGGGGGGGTGGTTGATCCGATCGATTTCAATTTTCGTTTTTGCAAAGAGGCGTTATTGCACAAATGCTTTTTTAAAAAAATTCAAAAAAAAGAAAAAAGTTTTAAAAAGGCGTTTCCTACGTTTTTCAAGACTCTGACGGGCGTGGTCGAGAATAGTTGTTTTCTCTACCCTAGTTTTTTCGGGCTAGCGATCCTTCTGGCCCAAGACATTGAAGCATTTCCAACCGAAGTTCAAACAATGGCAACTTCACCATCACACTTAAATTCAAACTTGAATAGAGATTCAAATGTCTGTTTTTGAATAATGGATTTTTGGCAAAATCCCCTGCACACCCACCCCAAAAGAGAAAACATGGAAATTTTATCAGAACAGTACTTTAGGCTTATCTATCGTGTACAGACAAGAAATTGAAACAAATGTTCATATTGTCAATTGAAGCACGATTTAATAAACAATACCTTCTTTTATAAAAATACCATTTAATACTCCCCATGAATTACCTGCTGCGAAAGAGCTTACAGCCAATTAACCAAAAATTACAATGCACCTAGTGAATAGAGGCTTGTTGTTAAAATATCACATGATGAATCCAGCAAAATTGCAAAATGTCATCTTTACCAAATTTGCCAATAGCATTCGATTGTAGAAATGGCATTTCTTTAAGGAGGAAAGTAAAGGAAGAATAACGGGAAGCATGTGTATTTCGTTTATTGTCAAGAATTCCGTTACATTCAGAATAAAAAATTAAGAATACAGGTAAGGTCAAGAAAGAAAATAATAAAGTATTTGAAATATGGTAAATCAAAGTATAAATAATCTTAATTGAGATTTTTCAACACGCTATGGTTTGACATTGGCCATTTTGTATAAACGTATGCGGCACTCTGTTATGCAATTAGGCCTATGTGCTAACACAATTAAAAACTTGGGAAATAGGAAGTCCTGAATCAGTTTCATCGCTCAAGGGAAAAGCAAAATGGCCATTCATAGCTGTTATCCTAACATTGAAAGGTTTCACGGTAGCGACACTAGGGTGGTAGCTTGACAACAAGTGTAAACTTTGATATAGGTAAGACAATTTGATATAGGTGTGTTCATTTTTAGTTGTTCTCATAGCTGCCCAAGACGTGTTCATATTCAACGTGATACGTTGCCGAAAATCGCTGATCTCAAGGTAGACTCAGCAACTTGTTGTTACTAGCATGGAATTTATACTTATATCTCTAATGTTTATGTTGGCATTAGTGCAAGGTGCTATTGTTCCAGGAAACGCAGCCAAAAAGCCAGGGGAATGCCCTACACTACCAAATTTAGCCAATATCGAATGCCCGCTGCCTCCGAATGTCCACAACACGATCGAATTCAACAGCTATCTGATGACAATTGCGGGATGCCTTTTCGATGGGGACTGCCCTGGTGCAGAGAAGTGTTGTTTCGATGGCTGCAGAACAACATGCGCGAAAGCTAATATTGTTGAAGTAATGAAAAATCAATCGAGAAGTTGCCCTGAAATTGAGAAAGCAAATGGCGATTGCAAATACGTAGATGACTCTGCTGCACTTCGAGAATGTCAGACGGGCGATGATTGCAGCAGTTCTGAGAATTGCTGTTACGACGGCTGTCGTAAAATATGCACAAGCATTAAAGAGCCGGAGAAATTAGTCGTAAAAGACGGTGTGTGCCCTCCAGTTGACGATTCAGAATGCGCTAGCCTACTTCTAGAGGAAGTGGACATCCTAGGAGGACGAATTTTGGAGCAAATTGAAGGTTGCAGTATGGACAGAGACTGTAATGACACAAAAAAATGCTGTTATAGCGGATGCCAACGAAAATGTATTGAGCCTTTTGTTGTAGAGAAAGTAGATCAAATCAAATATAAAGGTGAAATGGAGGAGAACCACAAGTCAAAGGATATAGAGAGTCAAGAAGCAAAGATCGTTGGAAAGGAACTGAGCACTGGATCAAAGATGAAAGCCAATAGGCTGCTGGAAAAGGAGAGAACTTTTGTTATGATCAAGCCAGATGCAGTGAAAAGAGGACTGATCTCTGACATACTAAAAAGATTTGAAAGAAAAGGATATAAAATGGTCGCAATTAAATTAGCAAAGGTAATTTTTGCATCTAGTTAAAAAAATTACTAGGTAGAGAAATATCAGAGTTATTGAAATTTCTACTCCGTCATTTGATATAGACATCTTTCTCCGATAACAGAACCTTCAGGGGTTAAATATTCTAAAGCTTTGAGAAATCTTTGACAAAAGGCTAGTTAGCCATCTTATCAACAGACTACCTGCTAAAAAGTTAAAATGAAAGCTTGAGCCTTCAGACTTTAAACTGTGTATTAAACGCTCTCTAAGCAAGATAGGGATTGTAATTAAAAAATAACTAATACAAAACCAAATAATTGGCCAGTCACTTAAATTTACTTAAATTTAAGTTTGTTTGGATCTTCTCTTCAGAACATCATCGTCGATTTATAAAATGACCATAAATTCTATATGAAATGAAAATCATCAAATTAGAGTAAGATATATAGCTAATCGATAATCTCATATTTTGACGTATAGATAATTGATATGTTGTAAACAGAGGAATATGAATTTTAATTTCAGCCAAGCAGATTGCTGCTTCTTGAGCATTACATCCATCTAAAAGTGAAATCGATGCTGGAGGATATCCTGGAGTATGTTGGTTCTGGCCCTGTTGTTGTGATGATCTGGCAAGGCACTGGGGTTGTAGACGGGGCTAAAGCAATACTTGGTGCAAATGACCCCTTGACAGCAAAACCCGGAACAGTCAGAGGTGATTTCACTTTGCAAATTGGTAAAGATATTGTCTATAGCAGTGAAAGTGAAGAAAAAGCTAGCCGTGAAATTGGACTGTGGTTTGGTAAAGATGAATTGGTGGATTGGTAGTCTTAAGATTTTGTAAAAATATTTGTAAGCAAAACAATTACAGTAAAATTCTAGACGGTGTATTTTGGGAATGGACATCAAGTTAATTGGAAATACCATAACAGGATAATTCAAATTCAAGCTTAATAATTTAACTGCCATCTACCATATAACGGTACTAAATTTCAGACTTGTAGTACTAGCAAAAATAATCTTTCATTTATAGGGCATGATTTTGTTTGATTTAGGCTGCGTCTTGCTATTTCAGTGATCGCATACTCAGACTTTTAGTAAGAACTTGTGCAGATAGATTGATTTCTAACTAGTTTTCGAACTATGTTCAGACGTTTTATAGTCTGAAGAGTGTCAGACGAAAAGATTTAGTAGCAGTTTCAAAATGTTTGCTTTTTCAAAGCAATTTTTGTAATTCTGTACCACGAAAAGATTGTTTTAATGAATTGTTTCTGAAACTAACATTTGACGAACGAATGAATTCGTACAAGCATAACTTGTTCAACCAGTGTATTATCGAACATAGGCCGAGGACAGCACTACCAGCAAACAAAACTTGGCTTGCTAGCTTACTGTGTATCTCAAACCTAGCTAGAGTAATGACAATCATTTTTCTAAATTAGCTGTTGGACGATTTTCTAAAATTGAGAGACGTGCAATCATAAACCCGTTTTTTGCAAAAGAATTGTTTTCTTGTGAGTTTCTTATGAATAGTGGAAAGATTTACGAAGTTTGCAAATTAACAACTGTGACGAAAAGTTCTCTGTCTTATCCAGAAGTGGACATTTTATTAACTTCTCGGTCTATAAAGTCAATTTCTAACTTCTGAATATCAGAATAGTTTTGGCTTTGATTAAACGTATTATCAATACGATTTTTCACTTCCTGATTCAATACATATTTTCAAAACTTTCAATCATCAGTATCCATGCAGTATACATACTTTTGTTTGATTTAGACTTCGTTTTGAATTAACATTGATGAATTTTTCTGACTTTTAGCAATGATAAAGACAACCTTTCATTTGGTAGAGATACTCTTGTATGCAAAATTTTATTGAATTTAGGGTAGCTTCCTAAAACTTCGATGATCAAATTTTCAAACTCTTATCTGAAAAATAGAATCATATCACTCGATATCAGCTTAAGGCCTAGATGCTCGAGATAAGATCAAAAACCAATAACAATAGAAACAGTAATATGTAAGCCGATTAAATTCTTTTATACAAATGTATCAATATTTTGGTCACGATTTGATTCTCAGAATTACTAAAGTTTACCTCAATCATTTCCTTGGTTTCTTTCGGCGTTTCCAAAACTCCTAGAATGAAAAATATTGAATTCAAAAGCACGAGCCCTAATTTAGTTTTTACCGATATCGGTGTATCTTTTTTCAATATAACTTATTTGATAATTTCCAAAAGCGAATTTTCATTTTGGTTATCATCAGAACATGTAAGGCTTTTCTTTCCTTTATTGTTTGCAGCTTATCAGATCGTGTGAATATTATTTGTTATAAATCATTGAACTTAGGCCGTCCGCCTTGTTTGCCGGTTAAAGATCTTTCACTCTGTGTTTCAAGCTATTCCCTTGAAAATCAAGAAGTTTTCAAATTTTATTTGATAGAAAAATATAGCAACCAAATAAGCAATAATCAGAGTTTATTTTCCATTCCCCAAACAAAGAAAGTGACTGTTACGTCACAAAATTGTCAAAAACTTGTTGATGATTAGACATCCCTGCTATCTACTCACATTGTTTTTCAGTGAAACCACCAACACCCCAACCCCCGTTTCTAGTGCAACAAGCCCTGCAGAATCTATGAACATAGAAAAAGGTAACAGTATTGTGTCGAGAATGACTTTGTGATGTACGTAGGTGAAAAAGGAATGTTTTGTGTCAAATTTCAAAACAGTAAAAATATATGTAGAATATCAGTCTTGCAGTTGGTTTATGATCACATTAAGCGTAAAGTTTTGAAGTTCCAATGTTGAATTGAAAGCGTGTCGTCGATTTTCTTTCTTGGTCGTTACCTATTATGTCCACTTCCAAGAGGGACGGAAAATGTTTCTAACAATTAAGAAGAGAACTTGGCATTCCCAGCCAGTTGGCATTTTATAAAAAGATACTCATTTTCAGAATATTAAATGTTAACTGGTCTGTTTTTCATAATTGTCTATCTACATATCGTGACGTCATACTATCTTTCTACAGCGGCATATTTGTTTCCAGTCCCTGAGCTTTGCTTGTGACAAACAAAATACAGTGGTACATTTGCTTATTAAAACCATTTAAAATATAGTTAATACAATTTTAGAACAAAACCAGATTGGAAACGTGCATTTGCTCGTCAAGGAGATTACAATGCAAGCTCTGAAATGAATGTAATTGAATGTAAGCACTGAGCTCTTTCTGACAATGTTCCTCAATATCAAATATCAATCAACAGCATTGCTACTTCAAGGTCTCATTGGACCTCAGGGGAGTATTTTATAGTATTTATGACGGATTTTACAACGTTTCTAGAAGAAAGCACTTTATTTTGAATTGATCAGATATTGTTTTTCTGCTTAGAAGACGAAGAATTGAGCTGGTGAAGTAAGGAGGTACTTTTAGTCCTCTTTCTGGACTGGCTGTTACATTTTTCGTCCAGATCAATTCTTCAAAATTGTTCTGCTTGTATTTGAGATTTTATGACGACGAATAAATGGCAAGCTTCTAAGGGATTTGACGACAAACCTTTTACCATTTGTGAAATATCATGAGCAACCATGATTAAAATCTTATGTCTTCATGAAATCAATATAGTGATCACTTCCTTTATCGAAACTTGCATATGAACTAAGTTTCTGGTCATTGATCAGAATCTAAAGTAAAACATTCAGAGAAAAAGTAGCCAAGAGGATTGAAGTACTTTCTAAGTGATGTTGTACATCGTATTGATTTTTACACAATAACAGGCTCTTGCACAACGTCATGCTTTTCGACTATATTTTCAAAACCGGCCTAATACCATACTGCATGAAAATACCAGATACGGTCCAATTCTTTTCGCGTAACGAGCAGCGAACGCAAAGCATGATGGTTGCGCAAGAGCCTTTTAATAGCGGATACTCCCAAGCAACAGACAGATATGTCTCAAAAAGAACAATTGTATCCAAAAAACTTTTTGCTACATTTGAAGAATTGTACGAGTAATCTAAAAACGACAGACGCCTCTCAACAATAGACTATAGCACTATATAGACATGTATGTCCTATATGGTTGTTTCCTGAAGTGGCTTCGAGCCATTGACTTTGTTATCGTTTTATCTCTTCGCTATATTCTTTAATCGCTCGTAAATGTTCATGGCGAAGCTTAGCGCTAATCCGGCTATCGTGATCTTTTTAACAAAGCCAAAACCAATCTAAAGCACATTGCATGTTTGTATTTGAAAAATGTTCATTTTTAAAATTGAGCTAGCTGTAATTAACCCTCAAAAAATAGTTTACAAAAAGTCAAATTACGCTTGGATTAGGGGAATTGATACTTATTCCGAACAGACGAATATCATGGAGACAATGATGTAAGAAGCACGAAAGAAGAAGACAGGAATAATATGGGACTTTATGCATGAAGAGATATAATCTTAGAACTGATCTCAGCTAAATACCATCACGAAACACAGCTCGAAAGATCAAAAGTGATAAGGAAAAAAAAAATTTGTAAAAAGATCAGAATAAGATAGTCTTATAAGATTCGCTTGAATTTATCAGCATATGACGTCATCTATATGACGCCTCTTGTCCTTCAGGAAAGAATGAGTCTTAATACCACAACAAACTAAATTTTTATGATTATGATAATTTATTATGTCTACAAATTGTCAATAAGCCCCCCCCTCCTCGAATAAGCCCCCACTGCTACCGTAAATTCTCGAATTATACCCCTCAGTTTGACGGTTTTTGCCATCTGAGGTTGACTATGGCATTTTATTGAATTACCACGACAAATTCGTACTTTTCGTAGTAATTAATTAAATGCTCATAGGAAAATCCTACTAAAATAAACGAGGTCTTTTGTAATGTCTTCTTAATGTCTACAATAATTTTATAAGCCCCATTCGTACAAGCCCCCCTTGTATAACTCCCCCCTCGAATAAACCCCCGTCCAAAAATATCAAAAATAAATAGGCCCCCAGGGGGCTAATTCGAGGACTTACGGTAATACCTGTCTCTGATGTACAATCATGTATAGAGTTACTCTGTCCGTAGAATCATGATAAATATATAGCAAACATCACGATGCAGTGGGAGGTTTACATGAAGAAATATAGAAATCATAGTATAAAAATGATGTCAAAGTAAATTACCCCCACTTTACAAACCGTATGTCATCACATAACGTATTTTCTATGTATGACGCTCAGTACATTGGCCAACTCCTAACAAGAAAATGGAGCATCTAGATGATGTAGAAATGTTACTGCTTTAGATGCACTTCTCCGCATTTTCTAACTCTTGAGTAACACCCACTGTCCAATGTCCTTTACTCTTAGTAAGGTATCTGTAGCAATCGACTTTCTATCATTTATTTTGTTGGCTTAGTTTACAGTTTTACTCTTTCATATACAACTAATTCTTATTTGTTGCCATTTTGTTCTTACATCTCATGGATTAGAGAAAGCATATATATTTTTAACAAAAACTGGAAGGCTTAAAACTGAAACATTGTCTCGATTAACAAATGATAGCACAAATTTGGGTAAAATCCAAAGAGAATACAAGCTGAGCTGTTTAGACGAATAAATTAGTGGAGCCAAGCCTAGTAAAGAGAAAAGTGGATCAAACAAGAGAAAGGGAATTTATTCGGCGCAAGGGACTAAAGTAACAGAAAAAACAACAAACTCTCTTAAGTGCACTCGCCTCCTGTGTTACTGATAGGTGAACTAAAGCACTCTAAAACAAGCAAAGCTCTCTAAAACAAGCAATTTTGCCAACAAATGACATAATTAACCGACAAAAGCGTATTTTAACCTACAATTTAGCAAAATCTGCGGGGCATTCGCATGCCCCCACACCCTCGCAATTACCACCACTTTCTTTTTTCATCTGTTAAACTTTCTAAGTGGAAAATCGACAAAACTTTTGCCATTAAGATTCTATCTAGTATCATTTCTTTGCAGTTCTTGATTCCTAGCATTTAAGTTTCGACAATTGCAAACCTTTTCAAAGTAAATTCAGACTTTGAACAGTTTTTGGTCAACAAAGTCAAAACAAGTGGACATAAACTACCAACTGAGCTTTGATCGAATTAAAAGGGTTTGTAATAGTAATCATAATGTGAATTCATTTAATTACCAAATAAATTTCCTCTTTCAAACAGTTCATCGACTTTTTAAGGATTAAGATAAGATAAACATAATTGCCTTTTAATTTAATCATGCAATCATTAACGACTTATGAAGCTAATATCTGATTAGAAAAATCAATAATTTATCGTTAACACAATTTGTTTCATGCTTTGGGACTGTGATAAGTCAAGTTAGAATTAAGAATGCGGTTAAATCTTTGGGCAAAACACCTTTTGTTGGTATTGAGAAATGGACTACATGGTCTTGAAACATAGGATCTTGAAACATATCATTATAAGAAGCACCGTAGGAAGGAGAGACTTTTTGTACTGTCTGAGAGCAATAGAAGCAAAAGGGATTGGTGTAAGCCCCCCCCCCCCCACAACCCTTAAGAATAATTGTAGCAACGTCCCTGTTTGCAATATACAATATGAAACAATGGCAACTTGCTAGATGTTATTCTCAGATATCCTATACTCGATAGCCTGCGTGCAGACTCTGAAATCTAAAAGAGGAGAGAAAGTAGAGTCAGCGCAACAGAGCCGCTTTTCTTGTTCGCTGACATCAACATTTTATTCTAAGCACTAGAACAACAACTCCATTAGCGTGCAATGTTTTTCTGTAATTTTAGTTGTTCAAAAGAACAAACAGACCTATTCTATTATCCTGATACCATTCATTTATACTTGGGCTCGAAGGCGCCACTTTTAAAACTGAAAAAAGCAATTGAAATTCCCCCAACCAATCAAATTCGGTTCCTTGATTTTGATGAACCTTTGAACAAGAAAATCGGCTCGGCTTCACAGACTCTACTTTTTCTCCTATTTTCAATTTTGTCAACAGAGTCTGCACGCAGGCTAATAAAATTTTACGCTAGAAGGTTGACGAATCATACTACATCTTAGCTTTAGAATTCATCGTCGGTTCTTTAGGCTTAAGAGAAAGCAATACTGTGTTATTTATTGTTGGTGCCTGAGCTTCGTTCACCTGAGTAGTGCCATTGGGTCTGGGGTTGGCGGTCTTGGGTCTGGGGTCTAGGGTTTGCGGTTTTTGGGTCTTGGTTCTTGGGTCTGGGGTTTGGGGCCTAGGGCTCAGGCTACACTGATAAGTTATTCTCAGTCTAATCTGACTGCATTTTTTTCAGATTGAATCAAAAAAAGATCTTCCCCTCTAGTCTATTGTTTTCAACATGACTATTCCTTTTCTGATACCAAATAATCGGGAAGTTTAGATCTGCT